ATGGTCTAGGAGTGGGTATGGTGGGAAGAACCACTATAATCCAAAAGTTGTACTTAAGAAATTTATATTTATTATATAAAAGCTTTCTACAAAAAAAAATTACACATTCACAATAAATGATTTTCCATTACAAAAAAAAAAAAAGTGTTACATGGCCATTCACAAATTAATAACATGTACGCTCCGAAATTGGGAAGTTTCAGCAATGCAAAGGCAGACTGAAAACGTCTGCACATTGAAAGAGAGTAAAGAGACATGAAAGCTACGTGTGATGTGAAGCCTTGCTGGGGTTTGAATGTGCCCCCCAAATTGATGGGATGGAAACAATCCCCAGTGCGGCAGTGCCCTGGGAGGTGGGGTCTTCTGTGAGGTGTTTAGGTCACGAGTGTTTTGATCTCCCCACGGAAAAGGGTTGTAGGGCCGAGTTCACTCTCTTCCCTTATGCAGCAGGAAGGCCCAAAGTCAGTGCCACACTGGGTCTGGGGCTGCCCAACCCCCAGAACCTAGGGAGAGAATTTTCTGTTCTCAGCTGTTTTGTTACAGCATTTCAGATGGATCCAGGTAATCCTAGACTGGATCCTGGACTGGAGAAACAAATATTATGGGATAGTTGGTAAATTTGTGAATTATATCATAATAATATGTCAATGTAAAGGTTTTCATTTTGGTAAGTATACTATGGCACTATGAAAGAATTTATCTGTGGTTTTAGAAGATATATAAATATGAACTTAGATAAAAATTTTTCTCAAAAAAGTAACCTGGATAAAATAAGACCTTAGAGACCAGCGCATTTGACTGTGGTCTCAAATGAGTTTGCCCAATTTAAAGCTTCAGACTAACTCTATCTAAAATCCTGAGTTGAGGAGGTATACAAGAATGTATTTTTCTCCTGAGTCATTTGCTTTGTAATGGTATATTTCTCATTCCAAGTATTAAGTTCTAGATTCCCATTTTACAAAAAGACATATTCACCAAAAACATGATTTCCTCGAGCAGTGTCATGAGGTATTTCCTTTCTACTCTTAGGAAAAGGAAGCATTACTAATTTCTCACTGTTCCCTTTTGCTAGTCCTGATTGCCAAAATGCCCCATCATTTATGTTACCATGAGTTAAGGTGATAGTATATTTACCTCTTGGCTTATCTGGAAACATTTTTTACTTTGTTTGCTTGTGTTAATAACCAGAGCAGTCTTTACTGGTAGAGCTTGTCTCCAGAACATGAATTGTTATCAGAAACTATTCTCTAGACATGAATTTTGGCAGTATATTCTATCAGCAGCAAAATTATTCAAGGTATAAAAAAAAAAAACATTTGACCTATTACCATGTCAGGGATCATGCCAAGGCCCAGGGGACACACTAATGAGCAGGGGAGAAACTTAAGGTTTTAATTCCAGGGGACTTCTGTCCCATTCTTAGACTCTGTCTCTCTCTACAGTTATGTTGTTAGCAGGAATCAGAAAACAAACAAAAATAAATACGGGTGAAATATCTTGGACAAATGTTGGCAGTGACAAAATAGCATGCCTAGTGCTGCAAAGCATTGTGCTGGGGATGTGTCAAGCCTAGATCGTCTTTCTTAGTTGTGGGTTTATTTAATGACACTTATGTTACAGCTTGAAAGTGGCCCCTGACTTCTAAACCAGAGAGTCAGTGCTGTGTATTTAGGTCTGATAATGTGATTTATGAGGTTTGTTGCTCAGCATTTGAGCAGTGCCCAAATTCTCCAGCTTGTGCTGTACAGCTCAGAGACCCCAATGATCCTGGTGTTAGAACGGAGTCAGTCGCTTGCTTTCGAGCACTGGTGTGTCAGGGTACTGTCTACCCTATTGTATTTGCCCCTGTGTTTAATTGTTTGGGGCACAGTATTTTGTTTGTTTGATTTTGTTTTAAAGGTTTATTTTACTTATTTGAAAGGCAGAGTCACAGAGAAGGAAAGAGAGGAAGAAAGATCTTCCATCCACTGGTTTACTACCAAAATGATCACAATGACCAGGCCAGGGCCAGACTGAAACCAGGAGCCCAGAGCTTCTGGGTCTCCCACGTGGGTGCAGAGGCCCAAGCACTTGGGCCATCATGACACTGCTTTCCCAGGCACATTAGCAGGGAGCTGTACGGGAAGTGGAGCAGCCAGGACTCAATCCAGTGCCTATTTGGGATGCCAGCGCTGCAGGCAGTGGCTTAACCTGCTACACTACAGTGCCACAGAGCTCGGTATTTTGGGTATGAGTTTTAAGTACTTTTTTCTACTGTATCCAAAGGTGACTCTGGCTTAAGGAAAAACTTGACAGATAAGGAACTTTTCTATTACTACTGTTTCATTTTTGACTCAGTGCTAAGTAGGAGGGAAATTCTGAGAATATTAAAATGTTTCAAAGAAATATATAAGAATATGAGGAGAACTACAATGGAAATATTTTCAAGTATTCTAAGAAAAGTTTAATACAGTAAAACCCTGATAATCTAGAATTTAACAAAGAATGAATCATTCCAGATTTAATCATTCAAATATGAACATTTAAAAAAAATCTTCCCGGCCAGTGCCGCGGCTCACTAGGCTAATCCTCCGCCTTGCGGCGCCGGCACACCGGGTTCTAGTCCCAGTTGGGGCGCCGGATTCTGTCCTGGTTGCCCCTCTTCCAGGCCAGCTCTCTGCTGTGGCCCGGGAGGGCAGTGGAGGATGGCCCAAGTGCTTGGGCCCTGCACTCCATGGGAGACCAGGAGAAGTACCTGGCTCCTGCCATTGGATCAGCGCAGTGCGGCAGCCATTGGAGGGTGAACCAACGGCAAAAGGAAGACCTTTCTCTCTGTCTCTCTCTCTCTCACTGTCCTCTCTGCCTGTCAAAAAAAAAAAAAAAAAATCTTCCAAATTTTAAAGCCATGCTTTCTCCAGTCTTCTGTATATAGCTTGCTTTTATCTTCATGTTATTCATGGCATTACTATGAAAAATAGTCAATTTATTAACCCTGGAATCACAACTGTATTAAAAAGTGTGGGGCAGGGGCCAGCTTTGTGACGTAGTGGGTAAAGCTGCCTCCTGCAGTGCCAGCTGCTCCACTTCCGATCCAGCTCTCTGCTATGGCCTGGGACAGCAGGCCCAAGTCCTTGGGCCCCTGCACCCATGTGGGAGACCCAGAAGAAGCTCCTGGCTCCTGGCTTTGGATCGGCGCAGCTCCGGCCATTGTGGCCATCTGGAGAGTGAAGCAGCAGATGGAAGACCTCTCTTTCTCTCTCTCTCTCTCCTTCTCTTTCTCCCTCCCTCTCTCCCTCCCTCCTTCCCTCTCTCTCTCTTTCTCTCTGCCTCTCCTTCTCTCTGTAACTCTGACTTTAAATAAATAAATCTTTTTTTAAAAAAAATGTGGGGACAGGAGTATGGCTAGTGGTTAAGATGCCACTTGGGATGCCTGGTCCCCATATCAGAGTGCCTGGGTTCAAGCCTTGTCTCCACTCTGTCCCAGCTTCCTGCTTCTGTGTTCCCTGAGAGGAAGCAGACGATAGATCAAGTACTTGGGTTCAGTTGGTCTGGCTCAGCCCTGGCTGTTGTGTGCATTCAGGGAGTGAACCAGCAGATCAGAAATCAACCAGCCTGTCCCCACCCCCCACCCCTCTCTGCCTTCAAATACATAAGAATGTGTTTGTAAAGATGCAGCCAAGATTGGCAGAAAGCTCAAGCAACAAAACCATTTTTAGATTATTAGTATTACAAGGTCTTTTTCTGCAATTGTTCTGAACTGTGACATAGTGATTAGGGGTCTGTTTGGAACATTTTCTTTGATTATGTTCAAAATTGGTGTGTGTGTCAGATGTTTGTTTTGGCAGTCTTCAGTCACCTCTGTAGTGTTTTGGTATCCTCCCTTAACTGTCACCTCCCCGGGCCGTGCTGCCTCTTAACAGGACATTTAGATATTTCTTCTGAGGGTTTCTAGTTTCAGGTGACCAACAAGCCGTTGTCACCGTACGTCATCAGTCCAGTTTGCCCAGACCTTAGAAAGCTAAGATTCACAAGAGGAGTGCTTTCCCCTTTGAGAGTCCATTAATTCCCTGTTCACTGTGATCTTCGGTCTCCAGAAAGCTGAGAAGATTACACACTGTTGGAAACCTAAAAGGCAAGAATTTCACTAAAGGGGTATTACAAAGGTTCTTGCTGCTTACTTGTATTTTATGGAATTTGGCTTTGCTTTGTTTTCTTATTATAATCAAGAGTGTTTCTGCTGAAGCTTGTTAATACATCTTACCAAAACCATGAAAAGCACAAAATCAGTCATTAATATTTAATAAAGCTTGGATTTGAAAGAGCAATAGGAGTTGCAGCACCTTTTTAATCTAATTTATTGGGCCTTAGCAAAAATCAGTGAGGTTTCATGACTGTAAAACAGGATCCCCTAAGTCGGACTGTTTGTTTTGCATCTGATTAAAACTTTAACAGTTATTCTGTTATCTCTAAAAGTTCTTAATACACAAATGTAGTTGGACATCATTAATAATCAACCAAAGTTCCCATCTGATTTATCGAAACATCTTCTCAAATCTTGATCTGACTCTTGATGGTTTCTAGTCACATTCTCTTGTATGCTTTCAAACCATGTGGACCTACTTCATACACCTGTCAACTTTTGATAGCCATACTTCACAGTATTTAATTTGTAGCTAAATCAAATTGTGGTCAGTGGGTACAGTGGGCTTGTTTTCTCCACTGTGGTTTCATTAACGTCAATCTTAGGTAAGCACAGTAATTAAGAAAGAATGAATACTTTCACATATAGCAACAGAATTTTTATCAGAATTCATGTAAGCCTCAGGTTTCTGTTCTGGGTGATACATATTGCAACATTTGAACTTTCTCCATGTCCACGGTTCCGCTTCCTCTGTCGGGGAGGACACCAGTTTAAAAATCCATTTAATTCATTTAAGAAATCTCAGAAGGCCAACAGATTATTTTTTTCTCCAGCTATTTTGGCTCTTATTAATTATTGCTGGTTTTTTTTCTTGGAATAGATGGGGGAAAAAAGAATCAAGTGATGATTCATGGAATTGAGCCAATGTTGGAAACGCCTCTCCAGTGGCTGAGTGAGCATCTGAGCTACCCGGATAACTTTCTTCATATTAGTATCATCCCACAGCCGACAGATTGAAGGATCAACCGTTTTGCCTGAACGGAATCACCCTGAGCTGACCGGAGCATGTCACCCTTCTGCTGCAATCAGGTTCGGTGGAGGCACCCTGACCAGAAACACTTGGCTGCTGTGAGCCAAACAGGAAAAAGATTCCCTGAGAGATAAGGCGGTCGGGCTGCTCTGACTCTGCATCATCACTGCTTTCCTCCACTGTCGTCATGAAACCTCAGCTGCGACAGGAAGGCCCTCAGAGGACCCCTGCAGGCCCTCTGTCTGCTTGTAAAGCTTCATGAAGCTGAAACCTTGGGCCTGAGAAGAAAATGGAAATGTGTGCCACTCGATGTGTATTTCTGATTAACAAACAAACAGGGGTATTTCCTAAGGTGACCATGGTTGAACTTTAGCTCCAGAGAGTGGAAACATTGGTTTAATTTTCAAGAGAATTAGACTTAAGAAAGTAAAAGAGAAATTCTGTTATCAATAACTTGCAGTAATTTTTTGTAAAAGATCAAATTACAGTAAACCCATCTTTCCTTAATGAAAATTTCCTATGTTTACAGTCTGTCTCTTGGTATGCAAACAATCTTGTAACTTTGATAATGAACAGTGAGAGATTTTTAAATAAAACCTCTAAATATGTTTTGTCATTTAATAACATACGATTTTGTCACTTTTCAACTACTTTCTGACTCACGTACAGCAGGTCATTTTTACTTGTATGTGTTACCATTTTCACAAGTCATCAGTGGCATGGGCTGGATCCAGGGCATGAGGGTAGCTTGTCTCAGGAGCTGTCAGAGAACTTCCTGCTGCTAGTCGTAAAATCTGTGTCTTTACACACTAACGGTATAAATAATGTAACTGTCTCTCTCTGCTGTTTCATCACTGTAAAAACTTGTCAAATCTTAGTATGCTAAGCATCTGTATGAGAGCACTTTGCATTTTGGGGAGGAAACCCATTCCTTTCCAGACGAGTGTTTTTCATTGGCTCCAGGTCTTCTATGTCCCTGTGGTCCCCTGGCAGCCAGTCTCGCACACAGTCTAAGGATTACCTGTCTCCTGACTGGCAGTGCCGTTTCTTTCCTTTAACATCACCAAAAATACCCAGGAGTTCCTGGAGCTCTTACACGATGGAAGGCAAGTCTGCGGCACTTTCTCACTCAGCTGCTGGGCTTCTACCAGCCGAACCTCCCTGTGCTTCTGATGTGGTTCCTCGTAAGCTGGCTTGCTGTCCATGCTGAATGTTGAGCAGTTTGAATGCTGAAAGACTTACACTATCATACAATAATGGTTTTGGATTCCATAATGAAAATGAATGTTTTTCTTATAAAAAATTATATGAATGTTGAAGAAAGATCCTGCTACTAGTGCTCATTGCTTCCTTGCTTTTTTCCTTTTTGTGATTACTACTGATTAGGAGCAAATTTACACACAGGATGAGATCACATTGCCCAAAGATGAAATATTCTGGGATGGAAATCAAAAGAAATAACATAAGGTATCAATTATAGAAAAATAGAAGCAAGCAGAAAAAAACATCAGCCAACGTAAACGTAAGTGCCATTTTAGTAAAGGTAGGAAAAATAGCAATATTTGAGTTACGTAAAGAAAAATCCACTGACTTGTAGTTTTGCAAAAGAGGCTGGTCTGAATCTGATTGTTCACATTAAAAGTGCTCAGGTCTCTGGGGGTGTAGGGATTTTCCCCCTTTATGTTTTGACAGACTGATGCTAGCCTTGGCAAACAGAAGAGCCGAGATGCCAGAGGTTGCTAAGTGATGAGGGAGAACTTGTGGTCACTGACGACCCCCAGTGGGAGGTCTTTGCAGGGGGCTGGAGTGAGCGACTGAGCGTTTCCTCCAGATTTGAAAGTAAATTTTCTTTTTTTTTTTTTTCACTTGAACATTACACCAGCATTGTAATTATTCTGATCGCAGGCAAATTAAGCCTCTACTACCCCAGAAGAATAAAAACTAGAAATTTTCTGCTAAAAAAAATCTATTTTCGTTTCTTTTTAGTTGACTATTTAAATTTTATGGTTTATTTTAAAAAATGAAGTAAATGTTGCATCTTTATTTCTAGAAGTTGAAAATGAAATTTATATAAAACAAATTACCTGTTGGGAGAGAGGTCATTAAAATTTCCTTCATCTTGAACCTGTCTTAAAAGTTGCTAAGAGAAAAAAAAATGATGTAGGAGGAGGGGTGGGTGTCTGTCATGGCAGTGAAGCTGCCTGCGTCTCACGTTGGCAGCACCTGAGTTGGAGACCTGGCTCCAGCTTCCTGCTGTCGTGTACCCTGTGATGCAATATCAATCTCTCAACTAGTTGGGATCCTGTCACCTGTGTGGCAGACTTGCATTGAGCTCCCTGCTCCTGGCTTTGTCCACATCCAGTCTCAGCCCTTGTAGGCTTCTGGGGGAGTGAGCCCTGGATGGGGACTCTGTCTCTCTGCCTCAAATAAAACAGCATACAGAAAGGATGAGGAATAAAGGAGAGCACCACAAATCTCAATATGCCTGTTTAGTTCATCCTTGATAAGTAGTGATCCTCTAGGATAGTAACAATTGTTATTTAGCTAGGAGGGAGTAAGTTCAGACTAGATAAAGTAAATCATTGCTTGGTTATCATTTGGCTGACCTCAGTTCTCATCATGGGTAGAGTTGAGTTGATGAGCACTGTCATTTCCATTTGTGTATCTACAGACCTGAAGTAACTTGATCAGAATTCAACAAAGTTGACCCACCAGTGTTCACTTACTGGGTGATTACTTAGACCATATTCCAATAGAGTGTGACGTGAATCCATTTAGTGCACTAGTCTTGTTAGGTTTATCCCATTCACTAGAAACTAGATTGATCATTTTCTAAAAGAATGTATGAAATTTGATACTGTGTGACAGTACCTTTTCATTGTTATCCTTATAGGGTATATATTTTTTAATAGACTGAACAACTTTTAAATTTTTAGGAATTTTGTTCCTATCAGAAAATAAGAGAATGATAGTCAAACTTTAGAATGAAGTGAATTGGGTTTCCTGTTCAATGTGATAACATAGTTATATCCAAGCAAAGAATCTTGGGAAGTGATAGGGAAAAACCAACCATATTTAGGAATCTGTGGCCAGTCTCTGGAATGGATCAGTCACAATACCTACTTGTCCCTTTTGAGATTGGTTACACAAGATCTTAAGTGATAGATTCATCTCCTTGTCTGAAAATATTCCAAGTTACAAGGTGGCAAAAAGAACAGAGAGGCTTGTATCTTTTCAGATCATTTGAGATTAAATGACTCTTTGTAATTACAGATTGCCCATGGCTTAAGATAGTTTGACTTGTGGGTTTTTTTGTTTGTTTGTTTGTTTTGTTTTGTTATTTATTTGAGAGACAAATAGAATTCCTAGTCACCGGTTCAGTCCTCATCTGCCCCCAATGGCTAGGCATTTTCAGAGTCCTGGCTGGGCCAAGGCAGAAGGCAGGAGCCAAGAACTGAGTGTCAGTCTCCCGCCTGTGTGGCAGGAACCCAACTGCTTGGGCCATCACCATTGCCTTCCTGGCCCTGCATAAGCAGGAAGCTGCAATCGAGAACCAGAGCCAGAGATGGAACCCAGGTACTCTGATGTGGGATGCAGGTGTCCTTAACTTTAAGCCAAATGCGTACCCCTGACTTAAAATTTCTTTATAATGGCACAAAAGTAAGTAATTCAAAAATTCATTTGCTGGGTTGCAAAGTTGATTCTCCACACTGAGCAGCGAATGTAATGGTGCTGTGAAATCTGGTGGGCCTAGCGTAACCATGGAGTGGGAGACTCAGATTCGAGATCCTTAGGTGCTTTATTAACTACCTAGCTTTTCAGATTCTTAACCACATCTGTCGCAGAGAATGTGCTTAAAAAGCAGTGAGCTAGACAAAGCTCAAGACTGCCTGTCTCAGTGGGCTTTGCCATTTCGGTTGATTCCTGTGAAACTGATTAGTTTGTCTTCCCTCTTCAGTAGCTTGCCCACCCCCACATCACATGGATAAATATAATACAACCAGGCTTTTTTCATTGTTTTCCATGGGTCTTCAGGGAGGATCTGGCATATAGTTAGTGCTTAGCAAATGTGTCAAAAATGAAACATAATAACACTTTAAAATCAGTGGCAGGGACAAGTGTTTGGCCTGACATTGAAGACAGGGTAAGATGCCAGTGTCCTACATTGGAGCGCCTGGCTTTGATCCCCTCCTCTGGCTGCTGATTGCGGGGTCTGCAGACAGCTCAAGTAATGAGTTCCTACTGCCCACTAGGGGAGACTGCATTGAGCTTCCAGCTTCAGCCCCAGCCAGGGTCCAAGCTCACCAGCAGCTGAGAGCTCGTTCTCTCAAATAAAACAGACTTGGTAGTAGTTTTTCCTGTTAAAAATACCAGCTGTAAAAATAGGAAGAACTTTGTCATTTAGAGATGAACATAACAGTGCGGCTCAGGTTGGCATCTCTGCTGGAGAGTTGCTTACTCAAACCAGCTACTTTCAGTAGGAACCACTGCGGATCAGGTCCTTTGCGTCAGTCCATGTTCATTTTAGTTGTAGCGTAGACCGCAGTACATATCTTGTGTTTCAACATCACTCTGATCAGCCCCCAAAACTGGAGCGATTCTCACCAGCCATCTGGAGGTATTTATTAACTCTGACCTTTTCATAAATGAGTGCTTTGTGTGTTGCTTGCTTCTATGGCTTCCAAAAATCGGGCACTATTTAATGCAGCATGTTCTAAGCTTTCTTGACTGTCGGATCTTTTCCTGTCCTAGTATCACAACAGCCTATTGAGCTCTAGCTCGGGAAAGGCTGCATGGAATGGTTAGATCTAAGAACTTAGAGTTTATGGCAGAAAGCTTATTCCTCCCTCTCTGATGACTCGGGCTTTTTGTAAGAAGCTCTCAAGCTTCTGACTCATCTCCAGAGTGTCTCTAGTCTGCGCATTCCTTCCTCCAGAAGGTCCCAGTGTGCAAGTCCTTAGAAAACATCCTTCCCAAACCTAAAAGCTAGGTCTAGCGGCCAGTGGATCAGCGAGAAACCCTCATCAGGCCTTTGGGATGCGAGTCAGTAGGAATCCAAGGTGAGCATTTGCTCCCAGGGAGTCTCCATAAAAATGTAGCCAGAGAGCCATGGAGCTGAAATATGGCAATCTATGAAAGTAATCCGGGAAAGAGCAAAGCCAAGAGGACTGACTGCACAAATGCTCTTCTCTGTGGCCCTGCACATGCAGCAGGCGTTCCTGACCTCTTGTTGGATGCTGTACCTGTTGGGGATGTGATGACTTCGCCTTTTTGTATTGTCCGGTGCATATTTTCCAGATGAGTTATGTCGAAAGCTTACAACTGAAAGTTGGGTTTTGGTATTCGTGTTACTCAGACTCTTGGTTGTTAGCTTTCTTTTGCAGGGTAACTCATTGACCTATAAACTCTATTTGATCCACATGGTTTTGTGCAGGCCAAGGGAAAACTGTCATGCCCTGACTAGCAACCTTTTCTGGGTATGCCATCTCAACCACATCTCCCTGAAGAATTTTCATCATTTCTGGTGCCTGTATTTCTGTGGCTCCTTTTGTCATTGTTTTAAAATGTATTGCCATGTAATATGAGTTGGTTTTTTTGTTTTTTCTTTTTTCTTTTTTTTTTTTTTTT